TGCCATGGCTGGGGTGGGCGGTTGCGGTGGCCTTCACGGTGACACAGGCCTCGCAGACGGCCTCTACCGCCTGTCATAGTGCCGCTGGAGTGACCTGTGGCCCCTGCACCAGCTGCTTGCTGATCAGCTGCTTCAGCACGCGGTAACGGAGGTGACCGTACTGGCAGTGCAGGTGCTGTGCTGCCGCAAGTTCGGCGACTGAGCATTCAGTGGCCCCGGGGCTGCCGTTGCCTGGTTGCCCTTTGCCGTTGCTGTCACCGTTCGGTTGGCCTCCACCGGTGTGGCTGCCGGCGGTGCTGCCACCACGGGTGCTGGTGATGGTGGCGGCACTTCCGCCAGCGCTGCTACCTGCGGCCTGGCCCCCGCCAGCTCTGTCGCCCGTGGTGCTGAGGGCATTGACGGTGATGTCGGTCGGCGCCTGCAGGTCCACGTCCATGCATAGTGCCCACGCTCACTCCATGCAGTGATAGACGGGCTGTTGTGCAGGAGGCTGATGCATGAGAACCAGCAGCCCGTCTTGTCCATGCTGAATGTGACCGAGTAGCAGCGTGTCATGAGGTCTGTCGACCTCTCACGAGGTCGACAGATGTCAGGGTGAGGCCCGAGCTGGGGACGTGCAGCACGTTGTGCAGGCGGACATTGTGTCCATCACAAGTATGCAAGTGCAGCTTCCCTGTTCCCACGACATGTTGCCCCACCCGATTAGCCATGGCGCGCCGGTGGGGACATGGTTGTGCAGCAGGCAGCGGTCACCCGTGAGGTGGTATGGTGAGCCTGAGTCGAGGGTGACTCGTGAGCTGCTTCCACTGCGGTCGATGACCAGCACTGTGGCACGGCTCTGGTGTGAGCTGCTTCTGCTGCTGCCCGAGCCGCTGCCACTGCTGCCGCCTGCAGTGCCGCCACCGTTGCGGTGGCTGTTGCTGCATAGAGCACGGCCACATTCACGTGCTCCGTCGGCCCTGCTGTTACCGCCATTGCCGCTGCCAGTGCCCCTGCTGCCACCATCACGGTGGCGGTTGCAGCTGCCTCAACTGATGTTGCCGGCGGTGTGCAGCTGCTCGAATGTGTTGCTGCGGTGAAGGCCGACGGACTCGTCCGCCTGCTTAACGGGACACTCGTGAACGTAGTGACCAGGCTGTCCACAGTAGTGGCAGGTGTCGCCGGCCACCACGGCGCCTGCAGCACCGGCGGTGCTGCCGATTCCACTGGCAGCACGGCCAGGGCCGACAGCTCCCACCAGGCTTGTCTTGCTTGCTTGGGTCTTAAGGTTGTTCTCCTTCTCACGCTGCATGAGCACGAGCTGTGGGGTCGTTAAGTTGGGCTGATACATTGTGAACTCGACGGTGATGGTGCACTGCGGAGGCAGGCCATGGAGAATGGCGTGGTGCATCGTGCTCTCGTCCCACTGGCCGCCGGCCACGATTATATTGCTACGGAGCTGCTCTGCCTGCTGAACGAAGTCAGTGGTCGTCTTCCCATCGCGCATGCTCAGCTGCTTCCGCGGCTCCAACAGGCTCAGCCAGGCCTGGGATGCAGAACGCAACTGTTGCTGTAAGAGCTGCATGGCGGCGAGGGTGGTCTGGCAATTCCTGAGCAACTGCTTGATGGGCAGTTCACAGGACAGATGCAGGTAGCCGAGCGCCTGTGCGTCCTCCTCCAGGGCGTCTTGGGCGTTGCGGCCCGGAGGTGACGGGTGTTTATGTAGTCTTCAACTTGGATGTTGCAAGGAAATCGCCTAAGTCGCCGAGCCACTGGGAGTAGTTTGACCCATCCGAGAGGAGGACACCCTTACATCCCTTCCCCATGATGGTTGCCTAGCGAGCATGACTGATCAAGCCGCATTCCCCGCCGCATTTCTGGCAACTAGTTGATGGTATGATGCATCGTTGTTGCGGCGTACGATGGCTCCTGATGCGATTTATGCCCTTTCAGCCTCCCAGGCATGTCCCCACAACTGCCTCACAGCCACCGACACATCTCACGGCGGGGCTTTAATTGTGTGCGT